AATCGGAACCGTGTACATCTCGACTGTAGAGCTGGGATTATCTTTGACAGGTAGTTACAAATTATACAGAAACGAGTGTTTTCTGTAAATTTTTCTATCACTGCAATGAGTAAGAATATATTATTATATAATTATAGTACCATTTGGATTACGCTAATTGGTTGATTTATCTTTTACATCCTATTAACAGCTATGGTCATTTAAGGACATGCCAGATTTTAGGTTGCGGAGAAAAGCATGAATTCCTTAAGAAAAACCAACGACCTGCGGCCAGTACCTGGCAACTGTCCCATGTAGGCCTTGAACCCGCAAACCTAGATAGTCCAGACAGAACACGTTTAAGTGTTTGATGATCGTTAGGACAGTCATGATCATATCTAACTGTAATATCCCAGTGATCTTTTACACATGATTACATAATGCTGCTTCCCCTTACAAAAATGCTCTTTATTTTCCCAAAAGAAGAAAAAGTGAGGAATATCTTTCTAAATTTCAAAAAAAAAAATACCAAATCATGTGAAAACAGACTATTGTAAAGTTAAAGTATAAAAAACATTGTATCCAAGCAAAAAATGAAAAGTGATCATGCTTGAAAATAAATCAGTGCATCTTGGAAGTTGAAAGTGAACATTTAATTTGTGTGCTGCTGCCACCATCACCATGATTTGCGAAATTGAATGCTAGTCTAACCTCTTCTCAACGCATTTTGTGCATCATTGGTCATGGAATCTGCTTCGTCTAATATCACGATCTTAAAGCCTGACCTGTAATGGAATAATGATAAAATTGTCATTTCAAAAGTCTTGTGTCCGGTTGCATTGTCCAAATCTTCAAAACAATTTCACATTATTTTTCAAAAGAAAAAACGATTATAAGATAAGAATTATTATTGGGTTCTTAAATAGGTCTAGAATTTAGCTTTTTAAAAATGTTCCAGAATGGAATTTGTCAAGGTACCTTAATTGTTAGGTACACATTTTAATATGAATCCTGTACAAGGAAGTTACAAAAAGTTCACAAACAATTAAAACTATCTTGAAGTTTCTTCACAGAATATTTTGAACAAATTTGCCCGCCATTATTATCAATAATCAGCACACCACAAGATCTGCAGTTTTTACCAACCTGAAGATCGTTCTTGTACTGGCAAAACTCAGGACTTGTCCTCTCACAATTCCAATTCCTCGGTCATCAGACGCATTTAACTATAAAATTGTACAACATATTCACTGATCAACAAACAAGAGGCCCAGGGGCCTTAATAGCTCACCTGGTATTTTATTTTTCAATTTAAAACCTGCTGAGTACCATTCAGGTTTATCAAAGGAGTACAAGTAACAAAGTTGCATCTTCCATTTATAAATATTCAATTCCCTTTGCCCAAAGATTCTCTAAAACAAGTTTGGTTAGGTTAAAATCCCTTCAACGGTACAGAAGGAGAAGGATCTTTAATGTTTTCCTCTATTTCCCCTAATGGGCCCCACTAATCTGCCCCAAAGAAGGGGAATCCACACACCTCAGTTTAAACAAAATTGATTCTTTTCTCCCTAAGCATGCTTCAGACTGCATTTGGTTTAAATCCCTTCACTTGTATAGTAGGAGAAAAAAAATCCTCTATTTCCCCTATTGGGCCCCGCTCCTATGCCGCCAGAAGGCCCACACCCTCCGTTTATACAAACTTGAGTCTCCTTTGTCCAAAGATGCTCTAGGACAAATTTGGTCAAAATCCTTCAATTGGTTGAGGAGAAGATTTTTAAAGATTTACCTATTTTCCCCTATTTGGCCCCGTCCCTCTGCCCCCAGGGGGACCATACCCTCCGTTCATACAAAACTGAGAACCCTTTGGCCAATGATGCTCCAGACCAAATTTGGTCAAAATCCCTTCATCGGTACAAAAGGAGAAGGATATTTGATGTTTTCCTCTATTTCCCCTAATGGGCCCCACCCATCTGCCCTTAGAAGGAGGCCCACACACCTCAGTTTATACAAAATTGATTCTTTTGTCCCTAATCATGCTTCAGACTGCATTTGGTTAAAATCCCTTCACTTGTATAGCAGGAGAAAAAAAATCCTCTATTTCCCCTATTGGGCCCCGCCCCTCCGCCCCCAGAGGGGCCACACCCTCCGTTTATACAAACTTGAGTCTTCTTTGTTTGGTTGAGAAGAAGAAGATTTTTAAAGATTTACCTATTTACCCCCTATTTGGCCCCGCCCCTCTGCCCCCAGGGGGGGTTATATCCTCCGTTTATACAAAACTGAGAACCCTTTGGCCAATGATGCCCCTGACCAAATTTGGTCAAAATCCTCTGAGCCATTCAGGACATGTAGCATTTTAAAGGAAAAAGTTGCCGGACGCCGGACGCTGCACCATGGGATAAGCTCACTTGGCCCTTCGGGCCAGGTGAGTTAATAAAACAAAACAAAAAACAATAATCTTAACCCTTTCACCACTTTGGACCATGATGGACTCATCCAGATCAATGCATTGTAGAGTCTACTGAAGTTACATAGGGGTGAAATTGTTAAATCATCAATTATAATGCAAGTTACAACTTCGTTTTGTTTTTGTCCTGTTGAGGCCACAGCAGTCATCTTTAATGCAGATACTCCAAAGGGTTACGCTCACTTACATTCTCTGCACCCCTGGCATATGTCATGACAAAAATCGAAGGCACAAAGGTAGCTATTTGATTGGTTTCTGGTAAAAAACACACACTGACCAATCGCTAGCTGATACCTGTCCTTTGAAGATTACAGAGGAGTGAACCTGACTTCAAAGCCAGTAAATTGTACTGTTACTGGACCTACAGATTCTTTTGATGTACATCAAAAGATCAAACCAGATTTCTTGTCTCATCCACAAGGTGGCGCACACTAAGCCTTAAAACATATAACAGGGGTGCAAGAGAACGTAAGTGAGCGTAACCCCTGGAGTATCGAAGATGTTATTTCCTACAAACTACATAAAAATTGCTCAAATAAAGAAATGTCATTTATCTCATTTTACTACCAAATAAGTAAGCAATAATAATTGCATGGGACCCCCCCCCCCCCCCCCCCCCAATTCTTTCCTTACAATTTTGTCTTATTACTCCCATCCCAATTGACACCCCATTTGAAAAAGCTAGTGCTGTCACTGTAAAACTTGATTTGTTATCACCTATGTCTTCTTAATAAAACAGCAGGGGAAGCACCTTTTACTGCCACCACCCACTTTTATTAGTTCCTGGTTCTTATAGCCCAATTAAACAATTGATTAATAATATTAATTTCCATACATCCTAATTTGGATATAATTGATATCTTCTTTATCTTAAGTTTCATTCATTTGCTATGAAATCTGCCAAGGGTGAAGAGTAGGTAGATCGTACCGGATCGTAACCCTTGGCTAGCGAAGATGGCTCCAACAACAAACGCTTTGATCTGACTTTACAATTGTATTATATGAAAATGTGTTTTCTCGCATTTTTACAAAATTGCACAAGACTAAACACACCTCCAACACCATAGAATTAAATTCCTTCGGAGAGTAGATCTGTTTCGCCACAGCCAAAATGGTGCTGGTTTTCCCTGTTCCTGGGGGTCCATAGAACAACAAGTGGGGGAGGCGATCCTCTTTTACAAATCTGTCAACTGGAATGTACAATATCCTTTTTGTTTAAAATAGTTATAATGATTGACTAATGATTTTAAGTCATAAGAGAATTATCCATGTTGTATTAAATAGTTATCATGATTGGCTAATGATTTTAAGTCATAAGAGAATTATCCATGTGGTATTAAATAGTCATCATGATTGGCTAAGGATTTTAAGTCATAAGCGAATTATCCATGTAGTACTTTATTTAATTACCCAGATTAAGACCTAACCTTTTTTCTTTTATTTATGTGCACAGACAAATTTGTTGAGCAGGAAGAAATACATACCCAAACTTTTGACAGGCAATTGCTAACATAATGTAGTACTTTCAACCTACACATAAAGGGAGACAACTCTTATAGTATTATCTTCCTTACTTGTTGTAATGATATCTGCATGTGATATGAGGTCATCCAGTTGTTTAGGACGGTATTTCTCCACCCTGAAGTGAAGAAAATAGTGCTGTTATATTTTCCTGAATAGAAATGTCAAACATGTTCAAATCAACATATATATTATGAATATATACTAAAGCAAAAAATTAAAGTGAATTATATAATTTGCAGATAAATTATTTTTTTAAATTTTAAGTCTAAGCGAAGTTCATGTAATTTTCAAAAACTTGATTAACATATATTGATTACACAAATAGAAATATGTACAGAGCATGGTCAGCCTCATATCTCTTCTGTGATCTTCAAGACATACTGCAGAATGTTTGATGTTCTAACATGTTATCAACACTTGAGGTTTTATGATAGAAGTTTGAAACAAAACAGGCAGCCCCGTGCTGAACTTTCTTTATCTTATCAAAATCTTTCTTTCAGATATGTGTCACAAATTGAACTTGCATACTCTAGTTGCGGGCAAACTAAGGACTTACATGCCTTTTCTTTGAACATATATAACTTTTTAATCTCCCCCGAGGTAGCCCAAGGAATTGTAACAGGAGAGGAAAATTGCAACAGCCTGACAGGGATTCGAACCTGGGACCCTATGGATGCTCTACCAATTGAGCTACCTAGTCACTAGTGTTCGACCCAGTGACGATCTAGTTTCACTACATACTTAATTCCTCTTTCAACAAAGTCTTTGACTCCAAAGAAATGAGAGACCCTATATACTACCTACCATGGATATATTTTGTTGGGTACCAACTGAGCTACCAATAATCAACCCAGTTCAGTTCCGCTACAGAATTCGAGATGGACGCTCTACTACCCAGTGAGCTACCTGGAGCCTGTTTGTTTATGCGGAACAAATGGTTTATCTGTTTTCGAATGCAACATTCTTTAGTATAAAGTAAACCCTGGCGGACCTGCAAACTTTTATGCAGACCTTGCAAGGCTCTCCTGATAGCATCAGATTACGAGGTCTGAAGTTATGTCATAAATGAACAACTCTGGTCCAACTGGTTGGATATCTTGACTAACGAAAGCAGCTCTGGTCACCGGCTGTCGACCAAGTTTAGTTCCACTAGTGTCGACTTTCCTAGTGATGTAAACATGAATGGGATCGCACTTCATATCCGATTTAACAGTAACACTGTTACACCCAGGTTATAGTAATTTGAATTCTTAATGGCCCGACAACACAAATAAGGTCATTACAAATTGATTAGGACCAATAAAAAGTAAATTGAACCTATTTAATGAAATGACTTCAAATGAACATAAAGGTTAAAGACAACCGTCAACTTGTAAAGTAAAAGTGACTATATCATCATTACTATATGGCTACAATGTAGTGCGGTCTTTTTGAGAGAGAGAAACAACAGTTCCTAGATATAAGGATTCTGACACTTGTTGGAGTTCGTGACCTTAAGTGTATACGGACTGGACTGAGTATTGTATCGAAATATATTGTGACGAAAAATTACAAAACTGTGAAAACATCCTATTTTTAGGCCGAAACGACCGGATACCGAAAAGTCCAGGGTTCTTAACAAGACACCGCAATTCACTTGCACTGGGGTCAAAAATATTACAATGCATTGACTTTATATATTTTTCTACATGTTTGAAAAATAATATATGAATGACATGCTGATTGCGTTACAGTACTCGAAACACAGACAAAAAATCCGTGCTTGCAATGCGCCCTCCCCTGCCTCCTCGATCGCTCCTTTCATTAATTACAATCTGAACGGATAGAATAATCCGCTACACACGCCGAGAATAGAGCAGTATTGGGGTTTGATACACAATCGTCATCAACTTTGTCCAAAATAACCCACCATGGGAGATTAGAGTTCTTTTTTGCCTCTGTTGTCATTTTTCTGTTCTTTCCCGGCAAAATTTGTGTTATCTCGTCTTTGGTCACATGATCAAGCGAGATTGCAATTATCCAATATGGCGGAAGTCATTTGCAGGAGCCTGTCAAATTACAATTGATTATTGTAAAGACGAACTCAATACATCTTCATGTCAACCGGTAGTAAAACTTGAAGCAGAGGTAGAAGTATGTCCAAAAACAATATACATAGGTAACTTTGGCCAATATGTCGGAGTCCTCAGACACAGAAAATGATGCTGTAGAAAAAGCCATCGCTATGTGCAGAACTGCACAGGGAATGATCGACTTCACAGCTAAACACCTGGATGGATTAAGGACTCAGTGCGACCCCTCAGAAGAACTTACACAGAAGGAGATTAGAAACACCGAGGTAAGTGCCCCTGGGGTTTCCATTGGCCCCTGGTAGGGGGTCTCTCCCTCCCCTCCCGTGTTGGACAGGTGTGCTGTCATTCTGACTACTGTAGGCCTGTAAGACGAGGCAGTTATGTAATAGTCACTCACATGGTAACACTATAGATTAATTGCACATCCCGAGCATTGCACTTATTCAAAATAATGTTGAATACCCTTGACCATTGAGACTCTATGTCAAAATGGCTTCACCTGTGTTTGAAATGATTACATTAATTGTGATGCAGACTTGTGTACTGTTATACGACTTGTGTATTATAATGCAGACCTGTGTATTGTGATTCAGACATGTGTTCTCTGATACTTGTGTTTTGTGATAAAGACTTGTATATTGTGATACAGGCTTGTCTATTATGAAAGACTTTTACAATTATGTACATACAATACCTAATACAGACCTGAATTTCTCAAGTAGCTTATCCTATTGAAGGGAGCTAGATATATATGTAATAGCAAAGAGGGTATCCACCAGGGATGGAACCTGCAACCCCCATCTACCTAGTTCACCACTCTACTGATGGATCTAAAGGGAAATTCCCTCTAGCACGAAGCTAGAAGACAAATGTCAACCAATGTGAAATTAAATCTGCCATACTATATCCCCCTTATATGTGTTCACCATCAAACACCCCAAAAAACCCAGATTCTATTTCCCTGGCACCACAGCGAGGGCCAGCGACCCCCAGCTCTGTACCTAGTCCACCACTCTACCCATGGAGCTAAAGGGAAATTCCCTCTGGCACGAAGCTAGAAGACAAATGTTATCCAATATGAAATTAAATCTGTCATACTACATCCCCCTTCTTAAATTATGTGTTCACCATCAAACACCAAAATAAACCAGATTCCAACTCCCTGTCACCACAGCAAGGGCCACGTGACAGCTGACACCATTTGTAATAGACAGCTGACACCATTTGTAATAGAAAAGATATTAGTGTGCTTCCACCAGCGATCAAACTATTACAAATTGGTGCCGTTGACCCTCCCCGTTCAAGATAAGAGAACCCTTGGTGGGGAGTCAAAGAACCTGGGTTGGTGTTTGAAAAAAGGGGGGAATCGTGTAAAAGATGTGGATTAATTAGGTTGCCTTACAAGCGTCAGCTGTAGGAAATTTCCCTTTAGCTCAGTGGTAGAGCATCGGGCTGGAGAGACAAGGGTCGTGGGTTTGAGCCCCAGCGACGGCACTATCTTGAACACTATTCCTCGTCCTATTACAAATACACCATGCCGAACAGGATATGCTTGTCAATATCATCTCTCTTGTGCATGTATCCTATCATTTGTATTTCATCCATTTTTCCCTGTTCCTTCCTTTGTTTTGTATCTGATTCAAATTGTAGATAAGTTTACTTTGTGCTTTCTTCACTATACTCCATCTCATACTTAGTGGCCAAAGGGATGTGACCTCATATAGTAAGTACTACAAAGTAAATAGACTTTGTTTGATAAATTCATATACCAGGACTACAAAAGTCTGCATAATCATAATGTATGTATTTATCGTTTACTTGTTTCCTTTACTACAGAGTAAACTGATCAAACTGTTCAGTAAACAGCTGGTAGCTAAGGATCAGTTAGCAACAGACGATGTCCACGACAAATTGTCAGAGTACCCAAAGACAGAACAGTGGCTCACTGTGGTCGGTTTGGAGAAAGATGTCATCCAGGTAAGCAAACCAAATCAGATAATATACATACCACAATAACACCATGGAGTTTGTGCTGTATGTTATCATGGAAGGGCAAACCAAATGACATGTAGATTGCAGACATTTTGTCATGTATCATACTATGTCATTTTTCTTGGGTTTTTCAGTTATTTTCATCAGCCTTAAAGTCTGAAAAATTGTCTGGTTTGATGGAAAGTATTCTACCAACAAATTTTCTTTTCAAAACGAAGAATAAAGTTGTTTTTCATGATTTTTTGTTTGTTTCATAATTGTTTAAGTGTATTCCACTTAACAAAAGCCAGTTAAATTAACTATTCATTCACCTCAAGTTGGGGGAATGGAGAAACACATACAAAAACAAACATGAAACCAGTTTATTGCACTTGCCCAAGCCCTAAAATTGGTTGTCCAGGGCATTAGACAAGTGGATTTTTTTACACCCCTGCAGGCAAACCAACCCAAGTACATGTACATTATAGGATTGGTTTTTCTTGTCCTTGTGAGCAATTCCAAAATAAGATTTAATGATTTTTTCCTGATTTGAAAAATTAAATTAAATCATGGTCCTGTTCACTATTTCGTTTCATTGGCCGAGGAATTGAGGAAGTGTTTCGGTAACATTGATCAAAACTTGATGAAATGACAGATGTTGTGCTGATATGAAATTTGAAAGTTCATATCATCTAGAATTTTTTTATTGGAATATCTTACTGAACATATATAGCTTTGTTATCATACTCCATTGTGTTGGGGAATAATTGGAAAATCATTGTAAGTTTCCTCGTAAATGTCACGTGTATGACATATTGTAAGGCTGATCTATACCATTGTTCTGCAACAGCCTAATTAAGTCTCATCAAAGCTTGTAACCAGTAATAACCAGTGTTTTTTGTGAAAAAGCGCTTGATAAAGTCACTGATTTTTTGGTCTATTTTTATATCAAAATATGGGCTGCTTCCTTGGGTAAAAGTTGCTTTATTTTCCCAAAATGAAGATAAAATGAGGAATATCTTCCCAATTTCAATAAATCAATGCCATATTTTCGCAATTCTTGTAGGAAAACTTGGGTATAAAAACACTGGCAATGATCTGTACTGAGAAAGGCTGTAATATCTTAACTGAAGAGTTTATCTAACTTAAAAAAACAACATTTACTTGGTTGCTCAAGACAAAATGGTTTAACATTCATACACAGTTTCAGTCAACAATTACCAACTGATGGATAGTAGAAAGGTATTTAATAAAAAGGTCAAAGGTAAACATTTTCAATATCACTTTAATAGCAGTAGACTTCAAAGCTGACAGTGCAAGTTAAAAACCTTTCAATCGAGATTAAAAAAAATAATTAAAAAAATCTGGTTTTTAAATCTTATCCGTCTCTTCCTACTACAGTTTCTAAGGAAGTGCCGACATTTTAGTTTATCCTTGCTCGGTAATGAGTATGGGTATAAAAAGCACATAACCTGTCAAACTGGTTATCATTCTTCAACTGACCGTCTTGCGATTCAATGCACCATGTGCTCACACCCTGATCGGCAACAATATCAAAAATCAAAACACTCTCCTGAAGACTTGAAAATACTTCTATAAATCCCATAAATATCATCGGTCTTTCACGTGCATAGAACTGCACCAACACACAAAACTTTATTATGAACTCGTAGTTTTCGTCGTATAGACACTTTACTAGCAAAACATGTGTGAAATGCGACAATCCCAGGTGTGAAGTCAACAATGTGTAATTTTATAATTGAACCGTTCTCATGGAAATGATTGAAGTTAGTATTGTTTTCACACAGGAGGTTATAACTAGTTGGATATCTAAAAGGTAGGCATTAGTGTTTGTTGTATCTTTCCTTCTTTTCAGGGCCGGTTTTTTTATTTGGGGGGGGCAGGAATTGTGCGTTAGATATTTTAATTGGTCGTATTTTACTACTATTTTCACTTTTCTTAGATAAATGATTACTTTGATATGTTCCATTTTAATTTTATTTAACTGATCTGATACAAAATGTTGGTAAAAATCGCGAAAGTGTTATATACGTGTATATATAATATAGTAGTGTGTCTTTGCACTCATATTGAACAAATGATAACCGGTTCGACGGGTAATGCACTTTTCATGCCCAGCGAGACCCATACTCGTTACCAAGCAAGGACCAAACTAAAATGTTGGTACTTCCTTAGAAACGATAGTCGTAAGAGATGGGGAAGATCTCAAAATCAGAAAGAAGAAAATAACACACACAAAAAATCTCAATTGAAAACTTTTTAGCTTGCACTGTCAGCTTTAAGTACCTGGTAATGTTACTGGGATATACATCATTGCTAGTGACTCATACTGGACAACCCCCTTGAAATCAACCAAAATTATCTTAAGTAGCATATGTTCCAGTATTTTTTAGGGTCACCCCCTCAACCGGTACCCCTACCCTTCAGTCGTCTTGCAGTGCTAGTGTCCCCCAACATTGCATGCTGGCTCTTAATGTGAAGAAGACAAATTTGGTGACAGGCTCATTTTTGACTACAAAATATCTTAATTAAAATTTCATTTTAAGAAATTTCTAATTGAAATAAAACATGCTTGTAAAAAAGTACTAATATATATTTTTAAATCCTGAAGTTTTATACAAAAACAAATATCTGGTAAATAAATTTGTATTTACAGCGATTGTCTTTCAGTACATGTTATTACGCAGTACATGTAGGTTCATTGTGGTTTTTATTTACAGTAACAATAATGTACACCAAATCCATTAGGGGCATGTTAAGCATTATTGTGTATATTACAGCTGGTATATATACAGAACATGGCCTCCAGGCATACTTATGATTACGTGTACACAATGTGATCACTGCACAAGTGCTTTATTAGGGATACAATAATAAAACAGTAATAACTGATGGACAGGGGATATCAATATTACCCAACTTAGGCCAAACAAAAAAAAATGGTGTTTCCAGTAACCCTACCTACCCAGTACTCTATTTTTTTGTGTGCCTACCCTTAACTTTTTAAAGCAATTTTCAAAGAAGCACTGTTAAAGTCAAGATCACTCTCCTATACAAACCATATACAATTATTTGTTAAGATAAAATTTGTTACCTACCTACCGTCCTACCCTAAGTTTTCCCAACATGTTACAGGAAACACATATATTTTTTTGTCAGTCCTTAATAGTGGCTATTGATGTGACCAACTCATCAATATCATGCTTATTGATAGATGACCACTAAGCTTTATGAGTACATGTAAATTAGTCTTTCCATAGCATATATTTTGTATAATGATCGATTGTTATTATTATTTATTCGGAGAATGCAAATTCAGAAGTATACTGATTGATTTTCTGAATCTTATTAGTTTTATTAATATTAAATTAACTCGGTTTAAGAATAAATGCTCGATTTTCTAAATATTTTTCAATTTTGATTATTAACGGAAAGATAACATTCAGATATATTGCTGATTTGCTGATTTTTTAAAAAGGTTTTTATTGTCATAATTATTAAAGAATTACATTGTCAAAAGATACAGTACCTGGTAGCTTCCTTCATGTAACCATTGAATTGTAGTTATAGTTATTAGTGTATAAATCAAAAATCAGAAATATTACTTGTTTTTCTGAATCTTTTGATGTCTCGAACTTGGTTTGATCACCGGGGGAAAATCGGAAAAAAAATCAAGACTTTGATTCAAGAATGTTGAACTTTGAACCTCTTTCAGGTGATTGTTAGGTACAGTTAATTGCTTCACTTCATTTATTCGTGATAATTTTCAATGTTTTCCTAACAATGTAGCGGCTCCTTGTTTGTAGTTCGAAACAGGGAGAAATTTAACTCATTAAACTTTGATTAAAAAATGGATGATCAGTAGTGTTATATAAATAAACATTCATGACTGTGCCTTAAGTTTGACACATCAAGAAATTTAATCTTTGAAGTTCGATTTATAGAAGTTTTACTAAACATAGGAAAGAAAAAGAATATGTATATATGTGGAACATGTATGTACATACACAAGCAATTAAACATACTGTTATTCTGTTTATAATTTTGAATACATGTATAAACCTCAGTTTGTATCAGTGTATTAATTATTACAGTTTGAAGAGAGGTGCAGGTTTTTTTTTTTAAACATCTACTTCTTGCATTTTAATAACATTAAATGATTATTCATGTAAAAAAAAAAATTATATGCATAATTATTCATCCCTGAAATCTACCAAAACCATCACATGTGAGAAATATTTTTAGTCCAGAGGTCTGGAATGCTGTAATAGGTAGTCTGGTTAACATTATACCTCGACACTTGTTTTCGTGTATAGTTGTATTAAAGTGTATGATAACCATGCTTTTTTCTTAGATTAGGGCAAAGGTGTCGCATTTCTACTTTTAATTTTCTATACACAATCCCTGTGAGGCATTTCAGGACTTGGTTATTGTCCTGTATATTTATTATCAATTCCCAAAGGAAGATTTAAAATACCAGTGTTTCTAGTTAGTTCAACCTGGCACAACGTACAAGGGGGAGCTTATGTGGGGGTGGGGGTTCGTCCGTCGTTTGTCATCTGTCGTCATCAACTTTTGCATTAAATGACAGATGTCCTTGCAAGCTGATTTTAATTTGAAATATGACACCTAAATACTTGAAATATTTCAAGTATTTATGTACATTTTATAATTTACTCAATTTGAATCGGAAACAGTCAGTTGTGCAGTACAGGTGAATTTTTTTTTAATAAAAATTGATCCATTCTACATCTAAATCAGATATGATTAATTAATTTGTTGTATTATTATTTATTTTTTTACAAAATAAAATAAATTAGAAATTTTGGTCAGAGACAAAATCTTTAGTTGTAGATTGAATTGTGATTACAGAGAATGGGGACATAACTTACAGGTAAATTTGTGGTCAGAAGGAAATGGTTTCATGGATCCTGATTGGTTTAATTGATAGAGGGCTATTTCAGGAAGTTGTTTGATTGTGTGAGCATATATACAATACAGGCATATTTGTGGATCTGGTTACTGGAATAATTGACATACCTCTGTGGGCACCTGTGTGTACACTACTGTGTATAAGTGTATATACACTTTACATACCTATACCCTTCGTTATCTCACCTGAATCTACAGGTGATATTAACCAAGTAATCCACAGGTTAAGCTTTCTGCACTGTACCTGTGACAAGTTATTATCAAATCTGATCGGAAAGTTAAAAGGGTTTAATAAACAAGCTTAATGCCCAGCATAGCTGACATTCCAGGAATAGCTGTGATTGTCCGCTGAGAGACATTAGCATAAAGGTGACAGGCGCTACCAATGGACAATACATTGTATGCATAAACAACCACTACTTCAACAGACAATCTGCTTTTATTGGCCTCCAGACATTAATAAATGAGCTAAAATTCTAAATACACTACATGTACAGATTTACACATTCCTTCGTACATTAGGTAGCTGCCAAGTTATACATTTGTTGAACAACAGAATTGAATTCCGTCCTCAGCTTTTTATGAAATTTCATATATGTTATTATATATTATTTTACTTTCATTTACTAAAGTGTAACAGAGTAAGTGCTGAGTAGGACAAGTTCTTGTGATAATACTAAAATGTAACTGTTGAAAACAGTAATTTCACATAGTTCTACACTTGTTATTTTAGTATGTGCTTCTGATGAGTAAAGATCCATATCAATACATCGGTCATCTATAATCGGCATACTACCAATTTAATTTTTGGAAAACATTTCAAATATGGTTGTATAGTACGGCTCCCAGTGATTATGTCTTTATGTTTTCAAATGCACCATTTTCCTTTTTTTCACCAAATTAAATTGCAACATTTAAGAGATTGTGACAAAACCCAGGTGTGTTTGTCAAATAAAACTTGAAACTTATACACGGTACGTTTATGTATGGAGAAGTGCACAACACTTTCTATATAATTTATATAATTATATAATCCCTAGGGGCCAGGCCAGAGGGGACGGGGTGATGGGGATCAAATACATTTTTTTTTAAAAATGGTTGGTTTTTTTAAGAAATGAAACTTGATACAATTTTGTACACAGGTTTCGCATGAGTTTGTGTTTCAGAGTGTAAATATTAAAAAGCCAAAATCACCACTACTATTCATAATTCAACAAATCTAGGGACTTCAATCTTTAGTTGGTATTGATCAGACTTGGTACAGAGGTCAGTTATGTGAATACCTCTGATGAGTTTGTGTTTACGGCTACCAAGGTGACGGTTACGCTTGATTAGAGAGAAAAAAATGTTACCGACTTTCATCACAGATCTGAATCAAACTGATAAGAAATAGAGAGAAAGACATGCATACATGAACATTCGTATTCAACTGATTTTGAATGACTTCATGTTTCATGATGCAAAGATCAAAGTCACTGTTTCATATATATATATATATATATATGCAGTAAATTTCAACCAATGGAACGGAACTAATTCGTTTTGCATGACAGCAGGTGCATTCTTTTCTTATAGACCTTTTTTAGCTCAAGTGAAAGAGCTCAACAGAATTAATGGTATCATTTTAATCGTTTACAGTATGTTGTTTTAATGTAATAAAAATATATGATGAATATAAGATGTAAGGGGTTGAAATCTAAAATATAACACTTTTATAATGATGTTCGTGATAAACAAAGTTTCCAGTGTCAATTCATATATCTTGTGTCTTTGATAGGGTGTACTTCAAAGGGAGATAACTCTTACATCACTACTGGACATGCGGGAAGATGAGGTGAAAAACCTACTGCTGAGGTTTGATTCCAAAGAGGAGGACCACAGAAAGTTCAATTGTGCTCTACGTAACCTCAAGAAATGGACAGGTTTGTCAATCTTATTTGTTTATCTGTGTCCATATGTAAACTTTACTCTTCCTTGTGTATATGATTATGGACTGGTGTGCCCAAGCACAAAGCTGAAAAATACTATTTCTGGGTTAGAAAATAGGGTAGTCCGCTAGTCAGAGATTAGTGAAATCTCTAGCTGGACTATAGTGGTTCTAAAAACTGCTTACCCCATGTATAGACTAGTCAAAATGTTCGGTATTATCGGTACTTGTTGAATATTATTGGGTTTGTTGAATTTGCAGATGGACTGGTAAAATTGGAAAATTATTAGTCCAGCTGACTAGGGTATATAAAATTAATTTCTAACCCTGTTAATTTATAACATAATTTAGAGTAGAATTCTTTTTTGACCAGTTGTCAAATCTAACTCATGGTATATTTGTTTTAAGAAAAATAATTTTGCCACTACACTAAATAAGTGTTTACACTTTCACTGGTGATTAGAAAAGGAGTAAAATACTCAGAATTGAGCAAAATAAAATGTTTAGGGGTAAAATAAAACGTCTAGGAGTAAAATAACCTGGAAAGGAGTAAAAATTTACCCCATACGTTTTATTTTACCTCTATCCGGGTTATTTTACCCCCTTGACAAGTTAAAGTACTCCTAGATTATTATTTTACCCCCATGACGAGTTAAAGTACTCCTATTTAAGTTATTTTACCCCCCTGACGAGTTAAAGTACTCCTAGATTATTATTTTAC